GTTTTGAATTTTCTTTCATTTACAGGTCAAAAGTTTATTTCCCCACGTAACGGAACCCTGTAATTTATTCTTTTAAGAATACCAATAAAAACATTAAAATTCATTTAAAATTAACTAGTGTCACCAACAGTTTCATTTACTAAGAACTGCTAACACTTCAATTCAATAATCAAATATTACACTCTCCAATGTGTCTGACAATACAGATTTGATGGTATACTGACTAATTTAGCTGTACATTATAAGCTCTAAAATTGTAGTTTTTCTCTTAATGCACAACAGGAGAAAATTTAAGAATTTCAGCTTAAATGTCTACTTTATTACCTTTATATTCTAAGGCATACCATTTATTTAAGATGTGCTTTGAAACCCTGTGGAGAAAGAGATCTCAGTTAACAATGAAGTGGTTACAGCACAGATGCAGAGCCAGGATGCCTGAATCTGAGTCTGCCCTTTAACGGGATGTGCCTGTGGCAGGTAACTGAATTTTTCTGTGCCTCAGGTCATCTTGTGGAAAAAGGAGGTAACTGCACACATAAGGCAGCTTGGAGAAGTAAACATTGTAATAGATCGGAGACATTCTGAACAGCACCTGGCATGTATATATTCATTTTTATTGTAGCTGAGGCCCAGAAAAACCCAGCTACAGGAAATTCATATTCCAATAAACTCCGTATCCACCAACAATCTCAAAACTGTTATAACTCTAACTCCCTTCTAGCACGGCACTAAGAATTCCCAGCAGTATCAAACAGTAACTTCCTCCCCTAGCTGTCTATGTCCATATCACAAGGATTTATTTTTCTTGAGTTGCTTTTCCTAACGGCTTTGTCTTTCAGAGATTTGTATGACATTACAATAAAGGAATCAAATCTGAGGGTTCTCCTAAAGCCATTCAGCCACTAAAACATTTTTGGAGTGGGCAGGATCACAGGACATCGTCAGAGCAGGATGAAGGGACAGGAGGCATCTAGAGTTCTAGAAGGGGGAGGTGGTCAGTCCATGACCCTGGGTCAAGCTTGTCTGCTGTCACATCTGCAGTGCCACCACAAACCGGAAACGTTCTCCTAATGTGGCCTGCCATTTGGCCACTGTGACTTTAGCTGAGGACTGAAATGAGATCCTGAGTGCCCGTGGACATGTACAATTATGCAATTCTCCTTGCGTAAAGTCACCCTGACACAATCCATCACCCTCCACTCATTTCCCCTGCACATGGCACTTACCTGCAGGATGCCATTTAACTTCAGAAAGCACCATTCAGGGAGACCCCACCTCCTCCCCCAGCCAGTCTCGGACAGGGTTGCTGCTTTAGCAAGAATTAATGCCCATGACCTACTGGACCCAAAGTGTGAAAGCCTGCTCCGGAGCCAGAGCTTAGCTTTACACTGCACTTTAATGCTCAAAGCTGATGACAAGTAGTGCGATTTATGCCTCAAATTCCTCCAGCACTGTTTCCATCAGTAACAAATTGTTCCCCAAAACAGTGCAGCACAGCTAGGAAAACTGGGGGCTGGGGGGGTTTCAGTGTTGGACTCAAATTGGTCTTGGGGTTATATTAACAGACAATGCAGTTCTCAGTGTATTTAAACAGAACTGTGTACTTAAAAGGTTCAAGGACAGCAATTATGAGCAAACCTGTTTTAAAATTCATACATTCTTCACTGCCTGCCTCAAAAGCACAAGGTCCCGAGTTCAATCTCTGGTACCAAAAAAAAAATTCATACATTCTTTGCTTCCTCTAAGAAATTAATAGCTACCGGCATTAATGTACTTTTAAACAAAAAGTCAGATGCTATGAGATGCCTCTAGATCCTGGCTCGTGAACAGGACTAGCAGCAGCTTGGTCCTTGGTACTCACTAGAAATGCAGAATCCTGCATCCTCATACCCTTCAACCCAGGAACTGGATCTGATTTTTCTCCAAATATTTTTCCAGTCTTTTTTACTGATTATACAAATTAATAATGGGTTTCATTTTGGAAGCTTCATACAGTCACATAACATATTTTGATCATTTTCACCCTCCATCTTCCTTGCCCTGGTCTCCCCCCTCATTTTGCTTTTTTGGGAGGGTTTCAATGCATATAATGTGCTCATTATCTCCCCTTCCTTGTCCCTCTTACTCCCTTCCTCTTGTCTAATAATAGTCTCCCTTCTGCTTTCTTGTCATCTTTTTTAGATTCCACATATCAGCGAGAACATGTGTCACTTTTCTTCCTGAGTCTGGTTTCTTGGTCTTTAGATCCATCTATTCTCCTGCAAACAACAGAATTTCATTCTTCTTTGTGCCTGAATACAATACTCCATTGTGTCTACATACACTACATTTTCTCGATCCATTCATCTGCTAATAGGCAGCTAGACTGGTCCCATGTCTTGGCTACTGTGAACTGTGCCACAGTACACAGTGGTATGTGAGTGTCCCTGCAGTATGCTGACTTTAACTGCCTTGGGTATGTAACAAGGAGAGGCACAGCTGGATCGAATAGTAGCTCTGTTTTTAGTTTGCTGAGGTACTTCCATAATGATTTCCATGGCTGTACTGATTTAGATTCCTACCAGCAGTGTAGAAGCCCTCCTTTACCCCCAAAGTTTCACCAGCATTTATAATTTTTTGTATTCTTTTTTAAAATTTATTTATTTTTTTAATTTTTTTGTATTCTTGACGATAGCCATTCTGACTAGGGTGAGACGGAATCTCCGTGTAATTTTGATTTGCATCTCTCTAAAGGCTAAAGATGTTAAACTTTTTCATTTACGTATGGACTATTTGTACTTGTTCAATTCATTTGCCCACTTATGGATTAGGCTATTTGATTATTTTGGTGTTTTAAAAAATTTCCTTATATATTCTACATACTAATCTTCTGTCAGAAAAGCAGTTGGTAAAAATTTTCTCCCATTCTGTAGGCTCTTTACTCTGTTAGTTGTTTCCCTTGCTATGCAGAAACTTTTTAATATGATGTACTCCTATTTGTTGATTCTTGCTGTTATTTTTTGTGCTATTTTGGAGTCCTATTCAGGGAGTCTTTGCCTATGGCTTTGTTTCCGCTCTGCTTTTCTTCCTCTTCCTCTTCCTCTTTTTTTTGAGATAAATCTCCCCATGTACTTTAGCCTGGCCTTGAACTAAGAACAATCCTCCTGCCTCAGTCTCCCAAGTGCTGAGATTATAGGCATGTGCCACCATGCCCAGCCCCCTATACTTTCTTTTAGTAATTTCAAAGTTTCAGGTTTTATATCTAAGTCTTTCTTTGATGCATTTTGAGTGTATTTTTATACAGGGTCTGAGATAAGGTTTGATTTCAATCTTCTACAAGTAGATAGTTTTCCTAGCACCATTTGTTAAGAGGATGTCTTTTCTCCAACATATTCTTTTGGTGAAATGTGATTTTTTTTTTTAAAAAGAGCCCTAGATAATTAATATGCCCATTAATATTTATGAGGCAATGGTTTGGGGGAGAAATTTTTAGATTGAGAATAATTTCTGCATTTGAAAGTCCTTAACTCATGCTCAGATGCTATGAGGTAACTGAATATTTTAGAAGATCCTTGGATTTTAGTTATATTTGAACATAAATTTGAGGACAGCTAGTTGAATTTTTTAAAAATCCCAATTAAATTTATCAAAGGCACTAGTTTATCAGAGTCACAGGCAGCATTTACTATCACATGATCAGATTAGAGACTAAAATGCAAATATATGCAAACCCCTTCATAAAGGAGTTTCCATAACCTCAAGTACACCATCACCCAGGGTCAGTGCTGTAAACAGAATATGCACAAAACATCTACAAATAAGACAGAGAATCAATAAAAAATGGACAGAGGGTATACATCACTGACCAAAAAAATATATAAATCACCTAGAAACACGAAAAGATACTCAAATTCCCTCGAAACAATGGAAATGCATACAAGTCTGATAGAAACTATTTTACAGGGGCTCCGGGGGGTAACTCAGTGGTAGAGTTTTTGCTTAGCATACAGGAAGACCCACTTCATTCTCCAGCACCAAAACCCAAATCAAAGCAAAAAAGTGAGAGACTGAGACTGTCCATGGGTAGAAGATTAAAAGAACAGAGGTATTTTTGGATACTGCCAATGTAAGTTTAAAATTTTACAATATTTTGGGGAAATAATATAGTAAATAACCCAGTATCTTTATGTGTAGGTTTATTTGTAGGAATCTTCTTACCAAAGTACTCCCTCAGGTACACACAAGGAGGCCCACGACACCACGGTTTATAACAAGAATTTCAGAACTGCGGGGAAAGGTTGGTGGAGGAACCCAACCAGCCAGCACGGGGTGTGACTAAATAAATTAGGGTGCATCCATAAAATATTCTGGGAGGTGATGTAAAAGTGACAATCTTTCATCAACTCTACGATGCCACAGATTGTATAACGCACCCTCATACAGTAGATGTTAAAATGTAAAAACAAAAATGGCTTGTGGCTATTTTTAGTTGCCATCAATTATGAGATGTTCCCAATTTTGGAGATGTTGAGATGCACAACAAAAATGAAGTGTGCTTTAGATCAGCGATACTGATTTCAGTTTTAAATACTGACTTACAATATCTCAATGCTTACTGTGTAGGAAAAATTAAAATCAAACCGAAAATGAACATCTTTAAGGAGCAGAATTCAATTGTGCTGAGGCAGGTGGCATGGGACACAACATCTTAGACTATTTTTATTCATTTTGAAAAGTTAAGCAGTGAAAATGCTGTATAAGTAAAACAAGAGTTGAAGTGTTAGAGAATTGTATGACAACTCAAGCCTCAATGCATTCACATTTTTTTCCTTTGCATTGAGCTGCATGCCCTACCCTTTTTTATTTGTTATTCTGAGGCAGGGTCTCACTAAGTTGCCCATGCTGGTCTTGAGTTTGTGATCTTCCTGCCTCAGCCTCCCACATTGGTAGGATTACAGGCATGCCCCACCACACCCAACTGCACTCACTTCTTTACTGATTCCACTTTTTTCTCCCTGCAGCATTTGCCTCCAGGGCCCAAGACAACAGCAAGGCTGGTGATCAGAACCTGCTCTTCCTATGTCCTCATAACAACCCACTGAGACAGAGACAGACGTGCCCATTTCACACATGATACAGAGTGGAGCTGTCTTCCTGGTCACACAGGGGCTCGGGACCGTGCCAGCTGACTCAGTCCACCTGGGTCCTCTTTGCAAGTCTGGGCTGCTGTCACTGCCCTTTAGTGCTTTAAGTATCTGCTTTCTATTCTCAGCTATTTTCTTTTTGTGGTATTTCATACTTCCTTTTTCACGCCTCAGTGGTTTTAAGGGGTTTTTTTTCCCCCTAAGCCAGAAATCTCATTTATTAACTAGCTTGAAAGAAATATTCTAATTGAGTTAACTGAAAATTAATGCATTTCCTCTAGCTTTAACAAGTCAGTTTTACAAAACGGTATACTTTCAACTGCCTTCCTTTAAAATTAGAAGTCTCTAAGCTGCTAAGGAGAGAAGCCTTTGGCGGACAACCGTGGATCACCAAGTAGCCCAGCCAGGAACCCTGAAGCTGGCACCTTCTAGTCATTCTTCATCTCCAGGAGATGGGACAAAACCGGAGCCTTAGCCTTCTTCACTTTTTTCATGTAACCAAGGGTTCAACCCCTGACCTAAAACTTCAAAGGAAAAGAGATTTGTGCAGTTACATTTCCACTTATTTTCTACTTTGTTCCTTTTTGTTTGAATCCCTTTCTTATACACATATCCCTTACCCAAAATGTTTGGGACCAGAAGTATTTCTGACTTCAGATTCTTTCAGAAATTGAGAAATGTGCATAGACTCTTTTTTCTGAAGCATTAGCATTCTCTATTCTCCAAATATAAAATGCTCCAAAATCTCATCTTTTTGGATTAAGGATGCTTGATCAGTATCTCTCCTTGACCAATGATGACTCTCTTTGATCGAGTACTTTTTGATCTATTTAGAAACTGTCAGGAATGTAGGGGAAAAAATGAAGGATCAGGAAATATAAATTCTAAAGACCTAAGCCGAGTTGTTTCTTCAGGTCATTAATCATTCTTTAGGGAAATGGAATGATGGCTTCAAAAATTAATAACAGGGTCTGGCTTGGAGGCAAACCAGAAACCATATGTTTATACAATCTTGATCTTCCCTCCCCACCCCCACCCCCACACCTACACCTGTAAGGAAATAAGATATAAGGAGTAAAGACACATAAGAGAGACGTCGGGCTCCGAAGGCAGCGAGCACAACCTGTCCCGCTGGCCTCCTGCAGAAGGAACTGGATGCTGGCTCACCTGAGTCCTTCATGGGGCAGAGGGCACACTGCATGCCCCAGGCCTCTCCGTACAAACAGCAGCACTCGGTGTATGTTGTCTGCTTGCCCACAAGAGGACGGCTGCACACATACTCATCACTCAGATGTTCCCAGCACAGATCTTGGTACACATCGGTTTCTTCTATTTGTTCTAAAGGAAAGACATGGTTCCGTGACAATCACACTGCTATTCCTATTTCAACACAGTGGTAGAAGCTAGTGAGTCTCACAGTTTCCATCCCTATTTCTAAGAGCGACTTCCAAGGAAAAGTCTGAATGCAGCCTGGTCTTTCCATAGATAAAACTGAGTATGTCATTCCAGCTGATGAAATTCAACCTCCCCATCATGTTCCTTCCAACCGGACCTCTTCCTCCACAGCTTCCTATCATGACACAATGAGGCTGCACTATCTTTCTTGTGAATTCTTATCTTCACTTTTCACCCTTATTTCTCTGTCAGCTCCTACCACTGCTTTCTATATAACATTTTTTGGATGCATCCTTTATTTCATCTACCAAAGCCCAAGATTAGTGACACTTCATTCAAGAGCCCTCAATTCTATTCTAACCTTTCCACATTTCAATGGACTTCACCCAGAGTAATCTCCTCAGTGTGATTCTGTGCCAGTTGTTAATGCCATGCCAGGGCATCGAGATGAACAGGGATCCATCAGTGGATTCAGGGCTCTACTATCTTGCTGAGCTGCACCCCGTGCTCCATCCAGCCTCACCAATGTCCCGCACACTAGTCAAGGACTAGTGATTCTCCTTCTTTGAACCTGCGCCTTCCTCAGCTGCCCCTGAAGGTCAAGTGTGATGAACCCTCAGGCACAGAGCAGCTCTGCTACTTGCTCTATACCACTCTGCATGCACCCTGTTGTCCCTTTCATGAGTACGTTTCAGGATATTAAATCTCCTACATCTTAATCATATGCATCTTACTATTTCTCTTCGTATCTCATCTATTTCAAAATACCCAAGGAACTCTTTTTTTCCTATTGTTCAAGCGTTCACATTTCAGTCAACAGGAAAGCCTGATGATATTTATGATATTTATCTGGACCTGGGTCTGCACTCACATCCGAACATACCATTTGACTCAGTGGGACGTATGCATCTTTTTTCTGAAGCATCCAGGACCATCGGGTGGGTACAGAAGCAGTTGTAAGAGCCTTCTGTATTAACACACTGGCCATCAATACAACTGCTGGGATCTTGACATTCATCCATATCTTAAGAAAAAAAATTATTAAAGAAAATCAACCATCAGTTATACCTCATACAATTACCAAAGCTAACAGATTCCAGGAGCTGCCACATTTCAATGATCCTACACATCCTCCAAAAGAGAGCACCTCAGACTCTAAAAAATGTGTTGTACTAATTGGAAAAACACTACCTTTGACACCACTGATATTAAATATAGAAAGAGAACATCTATGAATTGGATACACTTAGAAATTTAAGATAAAATGCCTTTTTAACAATGCTTTTCAAATTATTTCCTTTCCTGCCTAGTGTATATGGTTTTCTGCTTAAGTATGGAAGTCTGTGGCAGTATTTAAAAATGACTTTGACTTGTATGATATGAGTGATGAAACAGGAGGCTCCACAGACCAAAGGAACACTTCAGTTGTACCAAACGACCTGAATTATAATTCCATATTGAATATTAACTCTTTGTTTGAAAACCACTCAAATAGGAGGATGGGAGCTTTATTTCTTAAATCCTGGCCAAGAAAGATATCCACAAAACATTTCACCAATCTCTTCAGCACACAATCTAGATTTAAAGAAATCGTTTTTGGTATACAGCATTACTTATTTTTTCCATCTGTATATTTTCATAGCACACAATACTAGGTCCTCTTGAAGCTTACCAAAACACTGCAATTTGACAGGATCATAATATGTCCCTTGCTTACAGTAGCATTCATAACCAGGCTGGGTGTTCAAACAGAAACCATTTTTGCAGATTTCTTGTCCAAAAAGTAGGCATTCATCAGCATCTATGGGGGAAAGATTGAGAAAATACAAAGAGAAGAAGTTTTGATCTTCTCAAGAAGAGAAGGCAAATTAATATAGAGCTTCAAGTTAAATATTGTTATTTATATTCCAAAGAATCTTACAGACACAGCAATATAAAACTGTTAAAATTAGTCCTACATGACAGATGGAGAAACATAACCAGATGTGGTTTGTCTGTGAAGCAACAAACTCAACATTATCAGAAAAGGTATATTTGTAAATATGAATGTTATGGCTTGTAGCTGGAGGTTACTCCAAAGCCTTACATGCTCATAGGTAGGGTGTTTTGGAGCTGGCTGGATCTAGGGTGTGTGGTGCTAAATTAGTCCATGATTGGAATTAGCATAGTCCTGGGTGGCACCATTCAAAAAGACTAGTAGCCTGGATGAGATAAAAGGGTAGGCAGGTAGGCTGCCTGTTGTTTCACTATCTCCTGCCTGCTTTGTCATGGACTGTTTCTCCTCTGTGGTGCCCCTCTTCCATTCCCTGCCTTGGAACTAGCCAACTATAGATTGAAACCTCTACAAACTGTGAGCTGAAATACTGTATACTATATACCTTTCCTCCTTTAACTTCTGGGTGTCAGATACTTTGTCTCAGCAAGGAGTAAGACAATGGTCTCCTCCTCCTCCTCTTTCATCACCACCACCACCACCACCATCATCATCATGTTTTTCTTTTCCCTTTCTGAAATAGGATTTCAATATATAGTACAAGTAACCCCTGCATTTGCTATGTAGCCCAGGCAGGCATGGAATTCTCAATCCTCCAATTTCAGCCTCCTGAGTGCAGGAATTACAGGCATGGGCTACCACACCCGGCTGTAAAGGTTTCTCAGATACTGCTTCATAATGAATAAAATATCTACAGGTTCCGTAGTGGCACCAAAAACATTCTCTAACAAATACACCTTGAAGAAATGTGCCTTTCTGTAAATGTATGTCCTGGCCCATTCATTAGTTGAGATGTACAAAGATGCCAAGAAGAGTTTGAGAGAACTTGATGAAAGACTTTCTTAGTGATACACAGAGGACAGTGAAGGCACAACTTGCTATAGGGGTTGGCAGCCCGCCCCCCAGAATTACGCCCCCCAGAACTGCCCATCACAATTTACTCTGTGATAAACTGGAGTTTGAAAGGATTAATGAGATAATCTACATGTAGGACTCAGTACATGCTCTGGCACAAGCAGCTGCTCAAAAGTTATCTATGGCTTTTATCAGCATCACTTCTAGCATTGTGCAGCTGAAGTCATCTATTCATTTTGAAAATTGGAGACTCACAGAAGACTGCTCAATTTTTTTTTTTTTTTTTGGTACTGGGGATCGAACTTGGGTTGCGCAGCAGGTGGCGAAACCACTGAGCTAAATGCCCGGCCCAGACTGCTCAAATTTAAAAGATGGAAAAGGGCAGAGCCATCCACAAAGCTTATGACTGTTTGGGCCTAAATCCAGGCTTCTTTCAGCCACGTACAGGTAGAGAGAAGTGGAATTTATTTTATATAAAGAGAGGATGACTTCATAACGAAATTGGGTTTTTTTCCATAATATGAAATTTAACTGCATTCCTGCAAAAATAAAGAATGTGACATCAATACATATCACAAACCAGGTCTTTTTGTTATTCAGCTGGACTAAAGCATAAATGTATGGTTAAAAACACAAATGGAATATTTATCCATCTACTCAGTTATTCCATATTATTTAAACACTAGTTTTCAAAAAATGGATGGACAAGAAAGATATTTTTATAGTCTCTTTACCAGCCACTTATCAATTCTCAATATTAAACCAAAAAGGAAAAAAAAATATTTGT